TCAAAGCCGTACACTAATTAAGTTTGAACACTTAAATTTGTATAGATGATATAAAAAAATCTAATTCCGTTTCAAAACCTTCATTACTTTTTAATTTTTCCTTTTTTTTTTATTATACAAAACAAAATTGAAATTTGCTTTGTTCTAATATAGCAGGAATTCAAGTGTTTACGGATTCAAAAAGGTTATAAGTTATCCTCTGAAAGAAAATGTTTTTCAACGATCCCTCAAACTGCTGTTGAACGCCATATTTTAATTTTCGTCATGTTATTATGCATTATTTTCTATGACAAAACCGGGTCTGCTTTGTGAAATTTAAGGACAAAACCGGGTCGTACACATTGACAAAACCGGGTGCTTCAATTTTGACATGACCCACTTCTTTCATTCCATGCACAGACATGCAAATATTGAGGCGATCATAGTGAAAAGTCTTGACATCTCCGTGTTAATATCTTTCTTTCCGTACCTTTCTTTCCATACAATGTGCTCAATTTAAAGAGAAATTAAACAAATTCGAGGCAGGGTTCACTCAATTCACCATTTTGATGTGCCTTTTTACTTATTTCTCCATAAATCTAGAACGGTTGTAGAAAACATTACATCACACTATCGAAAATAGTTATATGTGTATGTATATTCTTCAATATCATTAAAACAACATATAAATAAACAGAATTTCTACATTTCTCTGTCTGTTGATTGTCCGTCACCGTACCGGACATTAGATACTATTGAGTCCAAACATTTTTCGCCGGGGTAGTTTAGATACAGTGTGCTTATTACCACAAAATACAGATCAAATTTGAATTTTTGGGGTGTCACTTTTATTGTTCTAGAGTTATACACCTTTACAAATGGAAAAATTGCTTAATATTTCGTTTCCGTTCTCTTACTTAAGTTGCCTCAACCAAATGTTATGAGACTTATAGACAATTGTTATTACCACAAAACTCAGATCAAGTACAAATTCGGATAGCTTCACTTTTACCGTTCTTCAGTTGTGTCCCTTTATAACTTTATATGATGTGCAAGTACACGTAGTATTAGCTAAAGGTTCAACCTAACATTTTATGAAACTTTGATTTCATTGTGGCTAGTCTGTAAAAAAAGACATCAATTAGAGAAGCCAATACCATTGGTACACTAATTTGAGAACAACAAAAAAGATGTCTATTTCAGGGATATATAATTGGTCATACATGTAAATTGAAATTTTATTTTATTATGACGTCGGATTTGTATGTCGACTTCAGAAATGGGGGTTGGTTAGAGACTGGACGTCAATCCGAGTCTTATACGTGTATATATATTGATTCAGTTGTGATGGTAAATAGACACCGATAGATAAGTCTGATAACATTTTAAAGTTGTAATGTTTGTTCACCTAGATGGAAGTATGTTCTTATTTTAAAAAGAGGGCACTCAGCAAATATTATTAATTAGTGCATGAACTACTTGCTAGAAACTGAATGTTTTTACCACAACTTTGTGTGTTTTAACTGGGGTACATATACGTACATATAAAAAAAAAATACATGTCTTTTTCAGGACTTCTGATCCATGTTTGACATGTTTGTTAGGTCATAGAGGTGGTTATGAAGGTTGAATGTTCATGACAGTCCTTTATTACACAGTTTATCACTGGATTGAGCTTTTTGTCCAAGTGTATTATTAAAGTGCTTTGCTTTGAGCTCAGTTCATTGTTATGAAAATGCATTCTTTGTGAAATAAAGATTTGACAGACAACTCACATCTGCACATGATCTGCTGCAAGGTTAGATTATTAAAACTGTCAGAACAAGGAGTTGTACCATCCATTCAATGTAAGTATTTAAAGGGAGATAAAAGCATTTTATTTTAATACTCTTGAACCAAACTTTTTTTGTCCAGAAGCCAAATAAAAAATGCACAAATTTACCAAACAATGCTACTCGTGCTACTAACAATATGAGCTAGGTGGTTTTGTAACACTTTTTAAACATCTATGTTGCCTGCTGGTGAGTCATGAGTGTGAATGATCATTTACTTAGGGAGCTACCATTTGATTTTTAGGGGAGGACTAGGATGAAAAATGTTGTCCTGCATTTTTTTAAAGTTGTATTCTCTGTCCTGCATTTTTATTTTTCACTTTATTCAGTCCTGCATTTTTTTTATTAGTTTATCCTGACTTTTTTATGCCCCCGCCGTAGCGGAGGGGGCATTAGGTTTTACCCTTGTCTGTCTGTACGTACGTCCATACGTACGTCTCAAAGTTGGTTTCCGTTCTCTCACTTTAGTTTGCCTCAACCAAATGTTATGAAACTTATACACAATGCTTATTACCACTAAATACAGATCAAGTTTGAATTTTGGTGGCTTCACTTATACCATTCTAGAGTTATGCCCTTTACAATTTTTTTTTCTAAATATTAAGTAATTTTCAAAATTGGAGTTATCTTCCTTTGTACATGAGTATAGTTGAATCAACTACAATCAATGCTTTATACAATGCAATGTTTAATTTTGCCTTCCACTGATAAATAAACGCAATTTTTACCCTTCATTCCTAAAAATATTTTAAAGTCTTCTTTGACAATTGGAGTTATCTTTCTTTGTGCATAATGGTAGTTGAATCAACTACAACCAATGCTTTATACAATGCTATATTCAATTTTACTTCCTACTGATAAATTAAAGCAATCTTTACCATTCAGTGATTACAAGCTGTTTGATTACTGCTCTAGGGTATGCCCCTTTACAAAAAAAAAACTGCTGAATTTTTCGTTTCCATTCTCTAACTTTAGTTTGCCTCAACCAAATGTTATGAAACTTATACACAATGCTTATTACTACATAATACAGATTAAGTATGAAATTTGGTGGTGACATTTTTACCATTCTTTAGTTGTGTCCCTTTATAAACATAAAAATTGCTCAATTTTTCGTTTCCGTTCTCTAACTTTAGTTTGTCTCAAAACTTTTTAGTTTCTGTTCTCTACTTAAGTTAGCCTGAACCAAATGTTATGAGACTTACACACAATGCTTATTACCACAAAACTCAGATCAAGTTCAAATTTGGGTAGCATCACTTTTACCGTTCTTCAGTTATGTCCCTTTATAACTATATGAAATGCAAGCGGGGGCATCATCTGTGTCCACATGTGGACACTATCCAGATTTATTTACATAAATTGTCATCCTGCCTTTTTATTTACTGAAAACTCCTGTCCTGTCTTTTTTGCAAATTTCATCCAAGCCCTCCCCTCCCCCTCCCCCCCCCCCCCCCCCCCCAAAAAAAAAAATCAAATGGTAGCTCCATTATACATATATACAGGTAATCAGTGTTAGTAAGTATAAATTAAATTTTTTAATCCTATTGTCCGTCAATCCTGTTCATATCTAAAAGAATTTAAATCCATTTGTAGGAGTTATGAGCATCTGTATTGGAATCTGCCGGATCTGGTATATTATCGTTACTTAAAACCATAACATATCTTCATAGAAACAATTTCCACATTTAAACAAAATCTTTTACTAATGATACTGGAAAGATCCTGAACAAATTTTCAGTTTTATGTGGACAAACCCAAGTAAGAAATGACCACCTCAAAGGAACATAAATAAAACCATACAAATATTACATGCATGCAGGTTCTCGGACACCATCTTGCATACTAAAATCACATCATGCAGAAATGCACCTAATGTGGTCCTCTTTATTTTGAGTTTTTGCTGCTATCCAAAATCAAATTTTAGAACTTATTTTATCGGAATCATTTTGCAATCCTTCCAATCTTCCACTTCTTTACATAAATCTATCCAGTGTTGGAGCACACTCAACTAGCTGTGTTCCCTTATTGGATCATTTTTAAAAATGTTAATGTATTCATAAGCACATAGAAGTTATTTCAAAGTTAAAATGTTGAAAGGAAATCCTCCAATGAAACGTTGCACATGCACCATTTTTTTTTACATGAATGTTAATATTATATACACGAAGCACTCATAGTACGTTGGCCAGTATGTAGATTTGATATTAAATGTCTAGCTAAATAAATCTATGAACGGTCGGCACTGATTTAAAGTAGTGTCTCATCCATGACAGTCGAACATTAAACTCAATATTAAATAAGACACTGCTATTTTCAGTGTTTGGTACAGGTTGGCTGTCACTGTGCACAACAGTTCAACATAGAACCCTATGGGGAAAAACCAGAGAACTCTTTTTTGTCAGAAAACACTGTCAAACATCCAAACATACTATCCACACTGATCTGTGTCCACACTTGTATCAATAGTAAAATAGTAGCCGTTTAAAATTTTGAATGTGAACTATATGCTCAACTAATTGCAGCATTAATATCTGCTTGCTTACCTCTTTAAATCTGAGTAGAACTAACTTTTAAAACGCAAACATATATATTTGCTTATTAACAGAGATGTCAACATTATCTAGAAAATATCCGTCTAAAACATCTCCGGAATGCAGATTTTTTTTTTTTTTTTTAGACTTACTCTACTAGGCTTTTATTTGAATGATGTCTTTTAACACATAATCTCTATCCAGTTTCTTCAACAGTCAAACTAGTGCCGACCGTTCAAAGATTTTATTAAGCTAGACATTGCTTTTATTATCGAATCTACATCCTGGCGAACGTATGAGTTCTTCGTGTATATAATATGTACATTTCTGTAAATAAATTTTGTGCATGTGCAACGTTCCGGTGGAGGATTTCTTTTCAACATTTTAAATTTGGAATAACTTGTGAATACGTTAACATTTAAAAAAAAAACTAACTCGTTAAGGGAACACAGCCAGCTGTGTGTGCTCCAACGCTGGAGGGATCTACATAAAGAAGAAGAAGAAATCCATGCATTAAATATTCATCTATCAAATTATCTAGACAAATTATTACACTTTTATTTTAAAGTTTTAGAAAAAAATCAAACATTTTTATCGTAATGAACATAATAAGTTATCATCTAAAATTTGAAATTTATAATCTGCCAATAAAGAGTTAAACGAACAACAAAATTTAATTCAGGAAGACAGTATGTCATAAAATATGTGCACAATATGAAGCAAATGACCCATAATTAAAAAGATGTGATAGATTGGTGGAAGTCAATGCAGGAACTTTATCACCACTCTCTCTCTCTTGTTGACCAATATTTCAAGAACTTGTATTTTATTTAGTTTATCGGTCTAGACAACAACTGTTTAAAACAGTACATTTATAAGCAGTGATTGTGTAAAGTTCTTAATTTCCACTAACAAACTCATTGACCAGTATAATTGTGGTAAGCTTTCTTAAGTTATTCAAAAAAAAAAGTCAGCATGTAATTGACAGTAATCGAAAAGTAATGTAATATTTTTTGATAAAGTAATCGATTGATGATCGATTACACAAAAATCCTTCATGTAATCGATTATTTATCGATTACAATTGACAGTAATCGTGTCCATCCCTGCTCATATAACATGTTAAGAACTCATTTGAAAATTGACTTGGTTTTAAATTTCTTAACGGAACCTAATATCAATTTACCGTTGGTTCCTCTTGAACAAACAGAATACATTAGCCCTCCCACCTTTTGGGATGAAAAGGCCTAATTATAAATGTTTCCATAAATTAAAACTAATATAAAAGTAAGGAGATGTAATATGTTTGCCAATGAGACAACTATCCACCAAAGTTCAAATGAAGGCGGTTTAATAAGCAGATACACTGCATTTCCTTATTATTTATACTGAGCACAATGTGCCATTTAAAAACATCGAAGGCTTAAGTACGAACAAACACAACATCCAATGCCATACCGTCCCTGTTATCACCATGTTCATTATTTAACTGAGAATATTCCACATAACCTCCAATATTTTCAAAAAAATTTCGTAAATTCTGTAATTTTTGGAATGACTTGTTTACAATATTTTTCGTTCCATCCCATGTCCTGTATTCAATAGACCAAATATTTACCACTATTTTTCCGGATATCAGTTCGTTTCTTACTGACTCCAAAATAATCATTTCTGATCCTTCAACGTCCAACGAAAAGTAGTCAATATGTTGCACGCCTATCAGATCTAGGATTTCTATCATATTAAAACAAGGAACTGAAATTGTTCGATTAGTTTTTACCATCTTCATCTGGTCATCATCTAATTCTGACGCCATGCCACCTACTGCACCGCTCTGAATGAATTCAGTTTTTTTTAATTTATCTGATATACATGCACAGAGACGCCAAGCTCGCCGTTTCAGCGCATCTATTTGACGACAAAGATCAGGGTTAGCTTCTATTAACAGTCCAGTCCAGTTATGTTTTCTTTCTAACCACAAAGTATTTGAATACATTTCACCATTGTATGCTCCCATTTCAACAAAAATTCCATTTTTTTTCCGGGAAATTTGATACACAGTTTCATCCTGATGTGCTTGAGAGTAGTGCTTATCAGTGTTGTTTAAAGGAAAATACGGATGCGGTTCTTTCAGCTTGTAATGGTCAAGCTGTCTTGTAAAATTTACATTTATTTTAGTAAATACATGCACGCGTTGGTGTCCATAGCCTCGATAATGCTGTTTCCAATTTGTTGTCAAATATGGATACCTTATCTTCCCATACCATCTAGCGGCATTGAATTTGATATAATCCCTTTCATAACTGTACTGAACGCCAATGGTTAACGAGCCCCCTTCCTTAGTTACACACCATCCCCTGGCAACGGCAATAATATCTCCCCAGGGATTAAGTCCGTCACCATACCTGCCTAAACCGGAATGTTCTATTGAACTAAAAGTAACAATAGCATCAAAACTCCCTAAAGTTTTGTTTAAATAACTTTTCCGAAATTTAACGGGAACCATTGTTTTTATTTTAGGGTGTTTTGAAACGATTTTACCATATTCTAACGTAACAACCTCGCGTGCTCCTGCTTCCAAAGCACATGCTTCTACCCAGGGAATTTCTGAACCTATAACCAAAACTCGACCATTGATAATGCCAGGTGCATGCTTTAAACCATCTCGTAAAGCATTTGTTTCTGATACTCCATACGTTCCTTTTAACTTGTTATCTTTTGCCAAAGAAATGTAGTCCTCGATTATTTGTTCTGTCCACACTGCCAGTTTGGCAGTCTTACCCAAATATTCTTCATCATTAAAATACCATGGTGACACTTTTAGTCTGTTGTTCATCGTAAAGTCCATATGTAGATCTTTAGGTATTGTTTTGGGGGCAATAGATAAGCCGTGGCCACGATCTATGTGTTCGCTTTTAAAGAGCGCTTGACAATCAATTGGGACAGTTATTTGATCAAAGTAAGGTCCGGGTACCCCTTTAGCATTTGTTTCGCAAAGTTTTCCACAATCCATTCTGATATATTCTACAGCATCTAATGATTCCTGCGGGTAATATTCCTCTGTTATTACACCTGGCATCTTTGATGTGGTGTCATAGTAGAATTTATAAATGCACATAAACAGTAGGACAAGAACAACTGGCACCATTCGTTTAAATCTCCTGCAGCACAACATTTCTGACAGGTCTTTTTCTGAAAAAAGGACAACAGAGTACAGATGAATGCTTCCCTTTTGCAACAAAAAGCTATATCAGTAAAAATCATAGTAGTTATATTTTAGCGCATCTGGTTTAAAGGGTCTGTGCGACTAATTATTACCACCACTTTACGACGTCCGTCAGCAATAATGTTACATTCTACGAATTGAAACAAACTACTTTCCTAAAACAAAGGAAACAAAACCTAGATATCATGCTTCTCTGTGGTGGTTAAAATATCATCACTAAAAAATTACCAATTACCAAAGACTTCTTTTGGCAGTCAATATAATGCCAAACAACAAACGTAACGACAGTCACATAGTACCGTATTAAGAATGTAAACAATGCTAGGGGCCGTCTTAAACTTGCAGTGAGGTGAGAGTTTTTTTTAGCTCCGTGTTGAAGGCCTCACTGTGATTTTGAGATGAAGAACAGCAATAAAAGCGCTGTTCCTTTGCTTTTTGTGTGTTTTTTTTGTTGTTGCTGTGCATGTATTGATTTTGTGTCATGGATGGATACCCAATATCCTTTGTTTTTCTATTAAAAAAAAACACTAACTCAACTTAATACACCTTTAAGCACCTTGATAAAAGAATGGGACATTAAAGTATATTCATAAACAATTAACAAAATAACGCATGCATAATCTCCACAACCATAAACAATACAAAAATAACACATGTATAATTATCACAACCAAATTGAAACACAAAACACAAAATGACATATGTATTATATTTACAACCATAAAAAAACCCACAGAAAACACATATATTATCTCGACTAGAGTGCACACGCTGAAATGTCTCGCCTGATTTACTGATCATTGATTTGATGTTGATAGTCCTAAATATAAAGCTTTACTACAAGTATCAAATAACCTTAACATGATCCAAGAAAATGATGCCAAGGTCAGATAAACCAAACAGAAAAGGCATGTACACCTTACAATCATTCCATACACAAAATATAGTTGATCTAATGCTTATAGTTTCTAAGAAACAAACTTAACCAGGAAAATTTAACATTGACCAATGAACCATGAAAATGAGGTCAAGGTCAGATGAACCATGCCAGACAGACATGTACACCTAACAATCAATATATGCATTACATATAGTTGACCTGCTTATAGTATCTAAGAAACAAACTTAAGCATGAACATTTTACATTGAACAATGAACCATGAAAATGAGGTCAAGGTAAGATGATACCTGCCAGACAGACATGTACACCTTACAATCATTCTATACACCAAATATAGTTGACCTATTGCTTATAGTTTTCGAAAAACAGACCAAAACACAAAAACTTAACACTGAGCAATGAACCGTGTAAATGAGGTCAAGGTCAAATAAAACCTGCCAGACTGACATGTACATCGTGAAATATTTGCATACACCAAATATAGTTGACCTATTGCATATAGTATTAGAAAAAAAGACCAAAACACAAAAAATTTTCTTTAACCACTGAACCATGAACATGAGGTCAAGATTAGACGACACCTGCCAGTTGGACATGTACACCTTACAATCATTCCATACATCAAATATAGTAGACCTATTGCTTATAGTATCCGATATATAGACTTGACCACGAAAACTTAACCTTGTTCACTGATCCATGAAATGAGGTCGAGGTTAGATGAAAACTTTCTGACAGGCATGAGGACATTGCAAGGTACGCACATACTAAATATAGTTATCCTATTACTCATGATCAGAGAGAAATTAACATTACAAAAATCTTAACTTTTTTTCAGGTAGTCACTGACCCATGAAAATGAAGTCAAGGACAATGGACATATGACAGACGGAAATTTCATAACACATAAGGTCTTCTACTTTTTAAAATATAAAGGTTTTAAGTAATTAGTTAACGCCGCCGCTGCCGCCACTGGAACACTATCCTTATGTCGAGCTTTCTGCGACAGTAGTCGCAGGCTCGACAAAACCATAAACAAAAACACAAAATGGCACATGTATAATCTCATTAACCATAAACAAAACACAAAAACTACATGTATAATTTCCACAACCATAACAAAACACAAATAAAACATGTATAATCTCAAAAACCATAAAACAAACGCATATTAAACACGTATAATCTCCACAACCATAAACAAAACACATAAAAAAAACACACGAATAATCTCCACTACCTTAAACAAAACACAAATACAACATGTATAATCTCCACAACCATAAACAAAACACAAATAAAACAAGTAAATTTTTCCACAACCATAAAAAAACGCAAATATAACATGTATAATGTCCACAACTATAAACAAAATACAAATGACACATGTATCATCTCCACAACCATAAACAATACACAAATAACATATGTATAGTCTCCACTACCATAAACAATACACATATAAAACATGTATAATCTCCACTACCATAAACAAAACACAAATAAAACATGTATAATCTCCACAACCATAAACAAAACACATATAAAACATGTATAATCTCCACAACAATAAAAGAAACACAAATAAAACATTAATTATCTTTCACAAATTTGGCATCACTTGTCATGTATGTCTTACACAGGAAAGGCATTACTTGTTATTCATGTCTCTTACACAGAGAATGCATTATTTGACATTTATGTCTTACACAAAGAATACATTTGATTTTAACGAAAGAAATCTCTAGATCTGCATTACTGAAAAAATATTATACCAGGGTTTTCGATATCGCAAACATGTCAAAACATTTACTAAATTTTATCATCGTTACAAGGACATCATTCGTAAATATAAGTTAACGTGCAGACGTCTTATACGTTCAGGTATTTCACATCCCATCTTTTATGGTAATATGTAATATTCTATACAAAGCACAAAAATGTTGCCATTCACCTCAAAAGCTAACCAAACCTGTAAACAGACTTATTCAGAAGGGATATAGTTACGATACTGTTGTCAGGTCATTAAAGATGGCATTTTTTGGAATTAATATTGATTCACTCATACGGTCTTTGCATTGGAAATAATTTTTCATATGATTTTCATATGATGAAGACATAATCTTTCAATCAGTTTAATTGGGGTCTGGAGTTGGCATGTCAGTTACTGCTAGTAGTTCTTTGTTAATTTATGTTGATTATTGTCATTTTGCTTAGTTTCTTCTGTTACCTTTTCTAACATCGGACTCGGAATTCTTTTAAACTGAATTTTACTGTGCGTATTGCTGGCTGTTTGTTTATTCCACATTGGCTAGAGGTATAGAGGGAGGGTTGAGATCTCACAAAACATGTTGAACCCCGCCGCATTTTTGCGCCTGTCCCAAGTTAGGAACCTCTGGCCTTTGTTAGTCTTGTATGTTTTTTTATGCCTCCGCAACTGAAAGTATGGGGCGCATATTTTTTTACCCCTGTCCGTCCGTCCGTCCTTCCGTCTGTCTGTCTGTCCGTCCCATTATGGGTATATACTATATAGTTATTCCAGATAACTCCTCCTACAGTTTGAATGCTAAGAAGTTTTCACTTTGCTGGCTGTGTGTACATGTATTGAAGGTGTGCATGTGATCAGGGTTTTGATTTTTGTCGAGCCTTCGACTTTAGTCGAAAAAGCGAGACATAGCGATCCTACATTCCGTCGGCGTCGTCGTCGTCGTCGTCGTTGTCGTCGGCGGCGTCCACAAATATTCACTCTGTGGTTAAAGTTTTTGAAATTTTAATAACTTTCTTAAACTATCCTGGATTTCTACCAAACTTGGACAGAAGCTTGTTTATGATCATAAGATAGTATCCAGAAGTAAATTTTGTAAAAATAAAATTCCATTTTTTCCGTATTTTTCTTATAAATGGACTTAGTTTTTCTGCCGGCAAATATTACATTCACTCTGTGGTTAAAGTTTTTAAAATTTTAATAACTTTCTTACTATCCTGGGTTTCTACCAAACTTGGACAGAAGCTTTTTTATGATCATAAGATAGTATCCAGAAGTAAATTTTGTAAAAAAATAAGTCCATTTTTTCCGTATTTTACTTTTAAATGGACTTAGATTTTCTGCCAGGAAACAACACATTCACTCTGTGGTTAAAGTTTTTAAAATTTTGATAACTTTCTTATACTATTTTGGATTTGTACCAAACTTGGACAGAAGCTTGTTTATGATCAAATGCTAGTATCTAGAAGGAAATTTTGTTTTCTTCCAGTTAACATTACATTCAGTCTGCAGTTAAAGTTTTTAAACATTTATTAGATTCATAAACTATCCTGGATTTTTACCAAACTTTGACAGAAGCTCTTTCAATCAAAAGATAGTATCAAGAGGAATATTTTTATTAATTTACTTCCTCATTTTTGTTGAGCCTGCGATTAACAGAAAAAGTAGGCGAGACACTGGGTTCCGCGGAACCCTTACGAATTTTTATTAATATTTGCTCTTTTGGGAGATAGTTGAACCTTTTTTGGAGTATTTGCTTGCATATAAGAGGTGCATAGCGTTTCCGGATAACTCCTCCTACAGTGAACCATAGACCTATGTGCTCCCATGCTCAACTTTGTGTATCTTAAAATAACACTTTGCATCTGCGGGGGCTTCATTTGTGTCTCCCAGACACAATAATATCTCAATGAAAGTCCTACATTGACTTTATTATAATACAGTTACATCAGAGTGGAGTGCGGGGGCACCACTTTGTCTAGTTTAATTTTGGTTCATTTATATGTTTTGGAGCTTTAGTGTGACGTCCATTTTTGCTGAACTAGTATACATTATTGTTTAGGGGCCAGCTGAAGCCCATCTCCGGGTGCGGGAATTTCTCGCTGTGTTGAAGACCCATTAGTAGCCTTGGGCTGTTTTCTGCTCTTTGGTCGGGTTGTTGTCTCTTTGACGCATTCCCCGTTTCCATTCTCAATTTTATAACTTGTCATTTATATCTGTAACAGTGAGAATAACTCACTTGTCATTTATTTCTCTTACACAGAGAATGCATCACTTGTCATTTGTGTTTGTTACACAGA